AATGAATTGATTGAGTCAAGGAATTCGAACATGATTTATAAATCAAGCACTTATTGATCAGTTTTGAGATGAAAATTTTCATCTTTTATAGTTGTTTGAGGTAGTAAATACAGGGTACCAGTTTCTAAAAATCTTTGAAAGACCTTAATGTTAATTGCATTTGGTCTCTGAAGCATGTAAAGGAATTTGTTGTTTTAAAAAATTTTACAAACATTTTCTGTAAACCAAAATTGTTGGACAGTTAGCTTTGAAGATTAAATCATTTTTCAGTTTGTTCTGGTCTGGTTTTCTTCTTAAGCTCTTATTTTATTATGATTTCTGGTCTGGTTATCAATTCTGGGAAGCTTATGATTTATCTACATAGACACTTTGTTTTCTTTTATTATTAACTGAAACAATTAATTTTGTGAAGGATTTTCAAGGCTATTGTGATTAGTTAAAACAGAGCAACACTCATGACCAACTTTCGCCCCACCTGAAACTTTGTTCTACGTTGGAGTTAATAGAAATGTTGAACAATTGCACTTCAACCAAATGAAATTGAGATTGTTCGAGTTCCGATTTGCAGTTATTGCAATCCCTAAATTAACTTAATAACAAATTGATTAATGACCACATACGTCATATGACTTACAATACTTCTGCACTATGGCTTTGCATGTTCTACATGATTAAAAGATTCTCCTGTAATGCTACATTGAGGCTTTAGAAGGTTTTTCAAATTTAAGTGAATTGGAATCGCTTCGTCAACGTATTAGTAGGTCTGTTGTTGTGAAGAAATTCCTCCTTCAACGTATTGCTGATACAAACACTTCAAAGTTGGTATTCATTTGTAGTTGTGGTAAATATTCATTACACTTTTTATCTTATGCTCATATTCATGGTGTATTGTTTGTCAATTTGCCGAGCTGTCTTATAGCTTCCTTCATAAGATGAAAAGCTTTATTGCCTATGGGGAAGGTTTTGTGAAAGTGTTATTAGCTAATGAGCTAGTCGTAGTTCTTAAACTATTTTAGACAGCGTCATGCTACTTGCCTTTGGAATATGATTTTTTATGCTCTCGTGTTTATCTCTATTTGTTTTCTTGTTGGGAGCTATGACTGGTAATCTGGATAAAAGTTAGTTTGGGTGGTGACAATTTGCTAGTAATTGGAGATTTATGAGTTAATTAAGTTGAAAGCAAATTGTTTGAGAGCATAGATATTACACAGTTTGGATCTTAATTGGGTTTTGCCTAATTGGCTTTGTTAGTCCAAGTCCCTTAATTTAATATGGAGAGAATAACAAAGCGGTATAGATACTAGAATTGCTTTTCAAGTTCGTCTAAAATACTGGAATTCTAATTCACCAAACAATTTTTTTTTTTTTTTTTTTAAGATAGAATTATTAAATTAAAATGATAATTTTTATCTAAAACTAATCGTTTGTTGGTTGTTAGAGAAGAGAATGTCATCATTTGCGTTTGGGCAAAACTCTACATTTGCAGGTGCTTCCTCACAATCTTTTCGAGGAAGGGGTGATGTAACATGGACACATGCTGCTGAGTGTGATAAAAATAAAAAGAATATATTAACATGTCTTTAATGTGGCAAGGTAACTGGAGGTAGAGGTATTTTTCGAATGAAATAACACCTAACAGGAGTAAAAGGAGATGTTAGAAAGTGCTTAAAGGTTTCTTATGATGCTAGATTCTAAATGCAAGAAGCACTAAAAGAATTTGGTTTAAAGAATAAAGAAAAAGAAGAGTTTCATAAGTATGCAAGTCCTTATCATGCTAGTGTACATGAATTTGAGGGCGATAAGTTAGATGAAGATTGAGATGGATAATGGGAGTTGATGCAATGAGAATCGGGGTTCAAATCAGGAAAGTTACAGCTAATTGGGGTTCAAATCAGGAAAGTTACAGCTAATTGGGGTTCAAATCAGACACTTGTTGCATCCTCTGTTTTGGTTTGGTTGATTGATGATTGTATGCCTTTGGTTAAAAAATGATCTATTTCTTTATGAATTTGTAATCAATTCAGGAAAGTTTTTTACTGAATTTTTAAGGTTATTGGGATTTTTTGGTCATGATGACATCATCGGTTCGACCTCAGCATGCAGGTGATTCACAGTTCACACCATCTATTTCTTCTCTTTTGGTCGGTCCCATAGATGAATGAAATTCTACATTTACAACTTTTGCTTTATATATAAAAGACTTAATACTATGACACAACCGTACATAAACAAAGCAAAAGATGATTCAAAGGGGCTGCCCTATAAGGCACACCATTCCTGAATCTGCTATTTTAAAGGTATTTGGCATTCAAGTTGCGGAATGCTGTTCTAGTTTCCAAAGCTGCAATTCAAGTACAATATATCACTAGGAAGTAAATCATCGATAGGTACAATTTCTGTCTGAATTCATTTCTTGTTCCTGAATTATAATTATCTTCTTTTTCTTCTTGTCCAGATCCCTGAACCATAGAGATTGGCGGTAATCACTTGTTGCTGTAACAAATACAACCAACAGCATAATTGCAAGCAACAATTCCAAGGCCATCATACTTCTTCCTTTACGGGTGGTTGTATTTGTTACGGCAACAAGTGATTACCGACAATCTCTATAGTTCAGGGATCTGGACAAGGAGAAAAAGAAGATAATAATTCAGGCAACAAGAAATGGATTCAGACAGAAATTGTCTATCTATGATTTACTTCCTGGTGATATTGTACATCTGAGGATTGGAGACCAAATCCCTGCGGATGGACTTTTTGATTCAGGATTTTTTGTCTCGATTAACGAATCAAGTTTAGCTGGGGAGAATGAACCAGTAATGGTGAATGCGGAAAATCCTTTTATGCTATCTGGAACTAAGATTCAAGATGGCTCATGCAAGATGATGGTCGCCACTGTTGGGATGAGAACCCAATGGGGTAAACTGATGGCAACTCTTAGTGAAGGAGGAGATGATGAAACTCCATTGCAGGTGAAATTGAATGGAGTCGCGACTAGTATTGGCAAGGCAGGCCTTTTCATTGCCGTAGTGACATTCGCAGTTTTGGTGCAAGGACTGTTTAGTTATAAACTGCAAGGGAGGACCATCTAGAGTTGGTCAGGGGATGAAGCTTTGAAAATGTTAGATTTCTTTGCTGTTGCTGTTACAATTGTCGTTTTGCCTTTGCAATGAAGAAATAGTCTTGACGTCCGAATTTGGGTGCTCATGAGATGATGCTTGGTCCGAGAGTTGAATTTTCTCCCCTTTAAAGCTGGAACCTGCAAAATGAGTTAAGAAACATCAACAAGAGCCAATAATGATGTATGCTCGAACGACTCTTCTCAATGTTCAAGTCAGCAAAATTAAATAACGGATAGAAAAGTTCAATTTTTTTTAATGTTGTCTTACTATAAATTAAACGATTTCTGTTAATAATGTTGAAATTTTGAATTTATGAAATCAATGGAAACTTGCTATTTCACCAAACCTTTACTCTTCTTAATAAGAGTTGTTGAATACTTGAATGTAAATAAAAGCCAATGGTTAGCCTCGCGTTTCTTTAATAAATTAATTTACTTTCAATCTTGCAGTTGTTGAATATAAATTAATTTAATATTAAATAAATTAATAACTTGATTAAATAATATTTTTGGTTAATCCCGAATTAGGACCGATGTGGTAAATTATGAGGCTTTTGTAAAACATAACTCTAATGTTACTTGTTTCGTCTTGAAATTAATATCTTCTTAGATTTCATCTCTAACTTTTCTTAGTGTAATAAGAAACTCTGGTGTAGTGTTTTCGTATTGCAAAAGAAGTTGATGTTAGGTCTTTCTAAAATGACTCTAATATGTATATGCATTAAGTTTAATGTTTTGGAAAAAGAAAATAAAAAATGCCATAATAAATTATTAATTTATATAATTAAATAATATATCAATTAATTAATATATTTTATGGTCCCAAAGATATTAATTTACCAAGGTTTAACCGTATATAGCTTATCTATAAGAATTCTCATCAGCAATGTTCCAACTTTGCTAGTAACCCCTAGATAATGAAATTTTATAATTTTCAATAAAAACAAAAATTAATGAAATTTTTGTTGTTTAATATCAGATAATACCAATAAATTATTAATCAATGTCATCTAATTACAAAGTCAATACTTTAAACACAAAGAACATATGTAAAAGAACCGAAGTAAACATATGTATGAATTTATTAGGGTTTTGAAGTTATGTTACTCTTTTATCTAGGAATACGCTAATCCAATAATGTAATCTAGTTGATAGGATACATATATTAACCTAATACTATAACATTATGCAAAATGAATTTTTTTAATACTACTTGTTCATTCTCAACCATAGAGAAAGAAGTCCTGGTCAATTTTTTTTTTTTTTTTTTTTTTTTTTTGGTGATCGAGAGTGTCCTAGCATCCTAACTAATTCTTCGAGGTTCTGAAGTTAAGAATTAGGTAAGTCTCCAGTGGGCCAATGACCATTCTTATTAAGAGTCAAGGTGAGTCAAATTTAAGACCTCTTGAATAATATATGCAAGAGTCCTAATTGACTATTCGGTCATAAAATTTATATGAATCATATTTTTCACATGATAATAATTAGATATTGTAGGAATATAAAAAAAATATTAAATTACAAAATAGATTTGTATTTTCCCATTATACCAACAACCAAGCGTCACCATCGTACACCACCACAAATTCAATCGGAAAAATTCACAAAACAAATAAAAAAAATAAAATAAAATACGCCGCCGTAAAAGCCCAACAGCCGCTGAACAAACTCCTCTTTCACAACCCGACATTCCCTCGCCTGCCAGCCCCTCCTTCCGTCGCAAGAACGGCCCCATATCTCCACCTCCCCCTGTTCAATTGTGTAAATTACCATTCATCTATTTTTGTTTTATGTTGCTTAATCTTTGGGCTTTTAACTTCGTTACCGAGATTTAGGGTTCGAGAATTTATTGGGTTTGAATGTTTTTAGTTAGGTTTCTCAGCTAGCAAATAGAAACGAGCATTGGAGCTGATAGAAGAAATAAAGGAGTTACTTTCTATTATCCTTTGAATTTGTGAAGCATAATATGCTGTGGAGATATAGTATGAGTTTGTTACACATGGCGCAAAGAAGGACAATTTGGAAAACACTATCCTTTAAATCAATCCATCAGGTATGTGCAACAACATCGCACCATTTACCAAAATGTTTATGACCGATATGAATATTTCCCCAATAGAAGGAAACCAATCATTCTTACACCTCACATTATATATTCAACTTTGTTGTATTGCCCTTCTGATTGGATTGGTTTGAGTCTTTTCCTTTGGTATGCGAAACAACGAAATTATTTTCATGATAGTCAATCAGTTGGTCGCATGATTAGTGTGGTTTTATACTATGTATTAATAGATTGCTTATCAAAGATTGGGAGGTATCATGATGCACTCGATGTGTTTCACAGTTTGTCAAAAAGGAAATTGGTTCCAGACACTTATACGTTTTCCTTTTTATTATCTACTGTATATTTGTCTAGGAGATTTTCTCTTTTACCCAAGTTAGTAAATGGACTTGTGGTAGAAGGGGATATAGTAGTTTGTAACGCACTTTTAAGTTACTTTTTAGAAGGTGGGCTTCCATCTCATGCTGTGGAGTTATATAGTGAAGTGTTGGATAGTGGTATGAGACCTGATAAGTACATCTTTTTTGGATTACTTTGTGGACTATGTGGAGCCGGAAGAATCGATGAAGCAGTTAGTGTGGACCAAGGGATTGTCGGCTTTCAATGCACATGTACATACTGTAATTATGGATATACTTATAAAAGCTGGTAAATGTCATAGAGCTATTAGATTGTTTTGAAGGGCCATAGTAGAGAAATACCCACTAGACATTGTATAATATACAGTTTTTATTTGTGGACTTCTCAAGGATGGGAGGATTGGAGAAGCATCTACCTTGTATGGTTAGATGAAAGAGATTGGTTTATCTCCTAATGGTCACATTTATACGTAATGCTTTCTAGTTTCTGTAGGGAAAGAGATATTAAAATGGTCAAATAACTGTTACAAGAGATCATCAAGGCTAGAATTGAGCTGAACTACAGGACATTCATGAGGGTAACTAGTCTTATAGTTGAATTTTGGCAGTCTTCTTCAGTCCTAAATTAATTTTTTGAAATGTGGAATTTGTTTCTAGAACTATAGGTATCTTGTTTTCAACTCACATGCAGGAAAAGGGATGATCCGGATGAAAATATTGATGCAGAAATTGATTTGGCTCTGAGGCAGGCACAGAGTTTGTTCCTTGATTGCAATGAGTTTGGAGATGATAGGCCACTCTCTTGTTGCTCCTTCTCACATGATGGGAATCTGCTTGCTACATGGTATCCATCCTTTCCTCTTTCTCAACAAAAAACATACAAGCACCAAGAGAGCTTCAGTTTTTATGATTTGGATGCCAATTTTTCTTGCAATGGCTTGTTAAGGGATTAATATATCAGGGACTAAACACTTTTTTTTTCTTTTTCTTTTCAAATCGAATGTCAGGTCACAGCCAACTATGAAACCTTAAAATTTTTTCCACCTCCCTCTAAAGAATGAATTAAAGGCATGTGCTTCTTGTTAGGAAAAACTATTTGTAATCTGTGCTTGAAACATTGCACATGATAGGTCCTTCAAATTAGGTCATCTTGATCCTTTCCATTTTTGTATTCACATCATTCATGGGAAGTTCACCTGAGAATTTTGACTTACGCTTCTGCCTTATTCAATTTGTTAATTCGGTTTTGTAGGGTGGTAATGAAATATGGCTTTTCATGTCCTACATGATTAAAAGATTCTCCTGTAATGCTAATGAGAACAAATAAAATTCCCAGTTTTGTAGGGAAGTGTATTTTGAGTAGTAATGGAATATAAACTTTAGGTAATAAATTGATATTTTTAAAATTTTTGGGTGGGAAAGTGTCATTAAGGCATACTTTGGGTGGGAAAAAGTCGTTTACTCTATTTATGATTGTTTAAGCTCTCTTGACATAATATAAGATGTTGATTGGATCTAAAACAGATATTTCATTATATATATATACACTTTCAGAAGGCAGTAAATTAATTCCTGCCTCTTGTCCATTCCAATAACAAAAACTGAAATTTTTGTAATTGCAAAATTATTGAAAATCATATTTGATCATATTTTGCACCTTGCAATTGCCGTCTACTCTTTTTTTGTTAGTTTCATAACTCTTAAGTAGCTTTTCTACTCACCCAATAAATGCGGGATTTAAGTTTAAAATATTACGAAGCAATTACTATAAAGATAAAGATAAAATTAAAACCAGCTCCATCACCCAAAAGAAACATCAAAATGAAAATGATATAAATGAGAGAATCTCTTCCATCTTAAGAAACCAGATTAAAGTGAGTATATCGTCTTAGAAGAGCCATCCTAATTAATTAAAATGGTTAATCTACAGCCATTTTGTTAATTTGTATGAAAAAATATATTCAAAGTGAGTTTTCAGTTTTACAATATGTATCAAACAATTATATCCTCAACATTTCAAACATCAATATTTGATATCGTTCTTTTGAATGAGATCTCCATTACAACAACGGTTTTATTGGATATATTACAATTAAAATCCCTCTTTTTTGAGTCAATTCCTTGACAACCGTGAACCCAAGTAGTTAGATTCAAACTCAACATTTCAAAGATAAACATGTCAAAGTATGTTTTAGATGCACATAGAATATAAGATATAATCAAATTTTCTTAAGTTCACAAAAATGTGTTTTTTGGGTTCAAAAAAAAATATTATATACCTTAAATGCGTCTACTTATATAAGATAACATAACATAAACCCATTTGCTAAAGGATATAGAATATGACGCGAAACCTTTAAATAATGAAATCCTGGGAATAGAAAGTAATGCATTTGCCTACCTTGAGAAACTTGCCATCCCTTGAGTGGATGTAAGAGTGTGGAAAGAGTGAATAATGAATTTTGAGAAATAGAAAGGGATGGTACATCTTCATCATTTATTTCCTTCCCCAAATTAAAAAAAATCACTTTTAATTTTATAAATGAATGGCAAGAATGGGACTACAAGAAATGGGGTAGAGAAAAAATTTCAATCATGCCTTTTTGGTTTTCTTGAAAATTGTAAATTGCCCCAAATTGAAAGCACTACCAAACCCCCTTGTTCAGAATATAGCATTGGAAAAATATATTTATGGTTGTCCTCTGCCAGGCTAAGGTCAAAACCAGGGGTCTCTTTCTTTTAATCAATCCATTAGTCGATGGAATATTGTAACACCTATTTTTTTTTTCTCATTAAAAGAAACTCGCATCAAGACTTGCTACATAGGCTATTTGGTCGAACAATATCGTTGTGTTATTTGTGCATACTTGTGTTGTTGTTTTCTTTTCTTTTCATGCCGGTGATTCTATCATCTATGTGTCTTATATTATTTGTTTTTCAAAATATAAGACCAAAATTACTATGTTGCTTCATTTGGTCATGGGACCACAGTCCACAGTCTCATTTATGAAAAGAATATGAATTGGGTCCCACATATATGTCCTTTACAACCATGTAACGCTGGTTGGTATCTAGCCTCATCTATGCAGTATAAGAAATGAATGGATGTGAAAAGTTTCACAAATGTATCTCTTGCTCTTTCTTCTTCCAATTATTCATCGTCTCTGACCATGGCTGAAGCTATTATTTCCGGTGTCTTGGAGGAGCTGACTTCAATCATTGCCTAAGGGATACAACAGGAGGTGAGGCTTGTTGTTGGTGTCGACAAAGAAGTCAAAAAGCTTAGGAGCAATCTTGAAGCTATTCAAGCTGTGTTCCTTGATGCAGAGGAAAGACAACTGAAGGAGAGATACGTCAAACTTTGGTTAGATCGGCTCAAGGACACGTCTTATGACATTGAAGATGTTTTGGCTGAGTGGCACTATGCCTTGTTGAAACAGCAAATTGAGGAGGTTGAAAACAACCTTTTTCCTTCTAAGAAGGCATGTTTCTCCTTTCCCTGCTCTTGCTTTTCTATCAAACAAGTTAGGTTACGTCATGATATTGCGATCAAGATAAAGGAAGTAAATGAAAATTTAGATGTGATTGTGAAACAAAAAGATATGTGTAATTTTAATGTGATTAGAATTGTTGGGAAGTCTGAACGAGTACAAAGTACCTCATTTGTTGATGTGTCCGAGATATATAGTCAAGTTGAGGATAAGAATACTTTGATATGCATGTTGTGTGAGAGTCGTGAACAACACCCTCATATCATCTCTATTATAGGGATGAGGGGAATCGGTAAGACAACTCTTGCTCAATTTGCTTCCAAAGACAATCAGGTGATAAACAACTTTGATAAAGTAATGTGGGTGTGTGTGTCAGAACCTTTTGATGAATATAAGATAGCCAAAGCAATCATTGAGGCTCTAGAAGGTTGTACTTCGAATTTAGGTGAATTGGAATCGCTTTTTCAGCGTATTAGTGAATCAATTGCTGGAAAGAAATTTCTGCTTATCTTGGATGATGTGTGGTCAGATGACTACAAAAAATGGAAACCATTATATCATTGTTTAAAGAATGGTCTTTGTGAAAGTAAAATTTTGATAACTACACGTAAGGAATCAGTGGCACATATGATGGAATCAATTGATATTATTGCTATCAAAGAATTGCTTGATGAAGAATGTTGGTTGTTGTTTAGGTGATTAGCATTTTTTGGTAGGTCTCAAGAGGAGTGTGAAAATCTAGAAGAGATTAGTAAGAAAATTTTAAACAAGTGCAAAGGTTTGCCTCTTGCTGCAAAGACTATTGACAGTTTCTTGCACTTTAAAAAAAACTAGAGAAGAGTGGTTAAAAATCTTAGATAGTGATTTATGGAAGCTTGAAGAGTGTGAAAAAGATATTTTCGGTCCTTTATTATTGAGTTATAATGATTTACCTTTTATGATAAAACGATGTTTCACATATTGTGCTATCTTTCCAAAGGACCATGATATAGGAAGAGATTGTTTGATTAAATTATGGATGACTCATGGTTATCTCAAACAAGAAGGAAATAATGTAATGGAGATGGTTGGTAAAGAGTATTTTGACTATTTAGCATCACGCTCATTGTTCCAGGAGTTTGAAAAAGACAATCACAATAATATTGTTGGATGTAAGATGCACGATTTAGTACATGACTTTGCTCAATTCTTGACTAAGAATGAATGTCTCATAATAGAAGTTAATGGCCTTGAAAAGCCAATCATAAAATCTTCTCATCATGAGCAAGTTTGTCATTTAATGATAACACTTGATGAAGGGACTTCATTTCCTGATTCTAACTGTTGTCTCAAAAGGTTGTGTAGCTTCATATATAATTTTGTAGATTCCATGATTGATTTGCCTCCTAATATTTTACCAAAATTATTTGGTGAATTAACATGTTTAAAGGCATTACGTATAGCTGGAAGTGCAGGGCTATTAGGAAAACATATTGACAACATTCCGAAGGAGATAGGAAAATTGATAAATTTGAGATATCTTGATTTGAAAAATCTAGATATGAGAAAACTTCTGAAGAATTATTTAGATTATATAATTTGCAAACTTTAGACATTAGTTATTGTACAAATCTGGAAGAATTACCTCAAGGGATTGGAAAATTAATAAATCTAAGGCATCTAGAAAATTTTGGGGTCTTGTCATTAAGATACATGCCAACAGGAATCCAAAGATTGAGTAATCTCCGAACCTTAAGGTTTTTCATTGTGAGTGGTGGTGATGGTAATGGTAATAAAGCATGCAACCTTGAAGGTTTGAAATACCTTAACCTATATGGAGATGATTTGCGTATAGACAAGTTGGGAAATGTATTAAATGTGGATGAGGCTAGAAGATTAGAGCTTAAGAATCGGAAAAACCTCCTTCAATTATTTATGAATTTCAAAAAAGATGAAGGAGAGAGGACGAATGAGGATGATGAAACACTTCTTGAAATCCTACAACCATCTCTAAATTTGGAGAAGTTATGGCTAGAAAATTACAGAGGCAACGATATTTTGCCCAACTGGATGATGTCCTTAACCAAGCTGAGGGACTTAGTACTCGAATAAACTGCAAGCATTTGCCTTCCTTGGGAAAATTGCCATCCCTTGAATATTTAAAGATATTGGGAATGAAGAGTGTGGAAAAAGTAAGTAATGAATTTTTAGGAATAGAAAGTGATGGCACATCTTCATCATTTATTTTCCTTCCCAAGTTGAAAAAAATTGAGTTTGGTTATATGGATGAAGGGGAAGAGTGGGATTATGAGATTATAAGAAAAGGAGAAGAAAAAGATGATATTAAAATAATGCCTTCTTTGGTTTCCTTAAAAATTAATTTCTGCCCCAAATTGAAGGCACTTCCAAACCACCTTGTTCTGAATACAGCATTGGATATATATATTTACGGTTGTACTCTGCTATAGGCTACCCTTGAAGGCAAAAACTAGAGGTAATTTTTTCTTATTCTTTTCATCAATCCGTTTATTCGATCCAATTTCTTACGAAATATTTAATCACTTTAATTTTTTTTCTTTTATCTTCTTTTAGAGAGATGTTTGATGCAAATAATCAGGACTGCACCTCCATCTATTTGAACTATCTCCAATAAGCTCTTCCATTAATTGCTACCGTACGTGCATCATTACCAGTCTATTGTGAGAAAAGGAGAAGATTGTCCTGTCATTGCCACTTTAGTTGAAGACAATCTCATAACGATCAGATCTTGTTTAATGGTATTGAGATTAGTACAAACAGAGCATTTTAAGTTTCTAACTGTTGGATTACTCTTTTGTCTGGGAGCTTCTCCAATTACGCTGAATTCCCTCTGTGAAATTGTTGTGTACGTGTCTGGACGTGGAAGTTGTTTATTTAAGTATGAACTATTCTTTAGGAGATTAGGTAGAGTAGCTATCATTTAAGTATGACTATTCTTTAGGAGATTAGGTAGAGTAGCTATCATTCCCTTTCTTTTAGTAACTACTAGGAGCACGTGGCTGGTTAATAGGAGTTTGTTTTAAGTCTACTTTGTATTTAAAGCTTGTCAAGTCAATAAAGCGGAGGTGAAGAATTTAGTCATTTCTTTTTCTTGGAGTTTGGCTCACTCGAATTAGCCATTGTTTATTTCTTTTCATTGCATGCAAACTGCACACATTAATTGGTATCAGAGCCAGACTTTCCTATGGCGGACGGTGGAGCTTATCAAACACGTTACAAGGAATTAGCGGAGAATGTTTCTCAACATACAGCAGCCATCACACAACAAGGAACAGCCATTACTAGGATCGAAGAAAAAGGATAGATCTTGGCGTCTCTGCATAGATTATAGGTCCTTAAATCAAAGCACCATCAAGGATCGCTATCCCATTCCAGTGGTGGATGAGCTTTTGGATGAGCTTCATGGGGCTACCGTATTCTCCAAATTAGACTTACGCTCCGGATATCACCAAATTCGTGTTGCTTCCGAAGATATTGAAAAAACTGCATTTCGCACACATGAAGGACATTACGAGTTCCTTGTAATGCCTTTCGGCCTTACAAATGCTCCTTCTACATTTCAAAGCCTCATGAATGATATTTTTCGTCCTTTCCTACGCAAGTTTATTCTTGTATTTTTTGATGATATTTTGGTATACAGCAAAAACATGGCAGACCACATCGAGCACCTTCGGCAAACACTAACATTGTTGAGTGATAACCAACTCTATGCAAACAATCAAAATGTTCGTTTGGCTACAGTTAGGTGGATTATTTAGGTCACATTGTGTCTGCCAAAGGAGTTGAAGTTGACCAATCCAAAATTGCGAGTATCCTCAATTGGCCAACACCAAAATCTGTCAAAGCACTTCGAGGATTTTTGGGACTTACATGGTACTACAGAAAGTTCATAAAAAATTATGGGTCAATAGCAGCTCCACTTACAATCTTGCTGAAAAAAAATGCATTCAAATGGAGTCAAACAGCTGATGTCGCCTTCAACAACTTGAAGAATACAATGGCTACGCCCCCAGTCCTAGGACTCCCTAATTTCCAAAAACCATTTATCATTGAATGTGACGCCTCTGGGGTAGGCATCGGTGCTGTTCTTATGCAAGAAAAACAACCATTGGCTTTCTTACATGCTCTTTCGGGTACACAACTTAACTTGTCGGTTTATGACAAAGAATTACTTGCTTTAGTGATGGCAGTGCAGAAATGGCGACCGTATCTATTGGGCAACTAGTTTATTGTACGGACAGATCACCAATCACTTAAATACCTTTTGGATCAGAAGCTTGGGACTTCCTTACAACAAAAATGGATTACCAAACTACTGGGATATGATTTCCAAGTGATTTACAAAAGCGGTGCTTCTAACCATGCAGCTGATGCTTTCTCACGACTACCAGAGTGCTTTGCAGTTTCCAGTCTCTTACCAAGCTGGCTGGAGTTAATCAAATCTGAAAATGCTTCTTCTTCTACTATGCAGCGCAAGCTTCTTGAAGTCTCCAATGGGAAGGTTTCCAAAGCAAATTATCAAGTGAGAAATGGCCTGTTATTTTATAAAGGACGGGTATACTTAGATAGCAACTCTCCCACACGTCTGTTGATCTTACAAGAATTACATGGAGGTCCGAATGGAGGCCACTCTGGCTTCCACCAAACATTTCGCCAAATCACTCAAGACTTTTATTGGCGAGGAATGACAACCTAAATTCGACGTTATGTTTAGGAATGTATTGTGTGCCAACAAGTGAAACCAGAAAATCATGCTCCTGGTGGGTTGCTACAGCCCCTTCCCATACCACATCAGATCTGGACTGACTTATCAATGGACTTCATAGAAGGCTTGCCAAAATCACAAGGGAAAGAAGTGATCTTTGTGGTGGTTGATAGATTATCAAAATATTCCCACTTTTTTGCAGTACCCCACCCTTACTCAGCTTCTACTATTGCACGCATTTTCTTTGACAACATTTTCAAACTACATGGACTCCCTAAAACCATTGTGAGTGATAGGGACAAGATCTTTCTCGGCAACTTTTGGCGTGAGCTATTCCGTTTACATGGCATTCAACTCAAATTCAGTTCGGCCTATCACCCGCAAACTGACGGACAATCTAAAGTCACAAACCGTTGTCTTGAAAACTATTTAAGGTGTTTCACACACTCTCGGCCTCAAGACTGGACCCATTGGCTCACACTCGCGGAATGGTGGCATAACACTAATTTCCATTCGTCAATTGGTATGACCCCATTTGAGGCTGTCTATGGATACAAACCTCCGCGATTATTATCTTATTATGATAATAGTACTACTATAGAGGATCTGGACACTCAGTTGCGTAATTGATCCATTCTTGCTGCTTTTCATTCCTTTAAATTTTCCCCACCACCGTGAAAAAAATCAGATCAAAACGACAACCCCTAAAAAGATCGTCCCTCGATGTCCCGAACGCCCCTACCATGCGTGAAAGTAAGGTTGCCGCTCTACGCCAAATGCGTGCACCACAACTCTGTACACCATAATTCAAATGAGGATTTTAGAAGCACAACGCAACTGACCCCGACCTAAAATGCATTGTATTTTATTTTTTTACGATTTTCCAAAGTTTTAATCTTCGAAAAATCATTAAAAATAATCCGCTCGTCCGAATCAATCTGTTCTTTTTTCCTTTCATTCCTTTAATTTTTCCCAC